AAAGCCCCCCCCCCCTCTTTCTACGTGCCTGTCTTAACTCTCTCTATAAAGGGACTCCATTTCATGCTGGTCGATAATCAATTATGTTCCTCATATTCTCATTCCTAGTGCATCCCAAGTTATGTAGCCGCCAAATTCCCCTCGGCCAGTGGCTATTGCAAGAAAGAGTGCGCATCGCTCTCAAAGCAGGCGGAAAAAATCTTCAAGACCTACGGAAAAGATGAGGCTCTGGCCAAGACGAACAGTCGCCAATGCTCCGATTTCGTGGATGGAGAGTGCACCAACTACCTCAACGATAGGGTGTCTTTCTGCTGGTGCCTGGGCGTGGACTACGAGCAGCTCGCTATTGTCTGTCGCGCCCTCATGGAAGGGTCGCGGAACCTCGTCAACGCCAGGATCGCCGCCCTCAACATGTGGGAAATCAACGTCCGGCCCACTCTGCCCAACATGCCGGCTCTGCCCAACATACCCGGTTGGGTACCCGGTTTACCCAGTCGACCTCGTCTGCCCAGTTGGCCTGGTTGGTCTAGTATTCCCAATATTCCCGGAGCCGGTCTTGTGCGCGGCGGTGTGGAGTGGTTGAGAGGCTGGAACGCCAAACCTGAGCGACGCTCACCAAGCGGGAGATTTTATGAGCCTAAAATTATCGAAATCAAAGAAGGGAAACCCGACTCCTCCTAGAGTATGTACCTGTAATCCTGTACAGCGAGAGTATGGACAGATCGCTTCATGGAGGTCTTAGGGCCCGAAAGTGCAGCCATCCCTCTCATCAACTTCTATCACACAAAATTTCACCGCCAGTCTGCAGATTCTAATTCTAACCAAGATGGCCGCAAGAATGTACAGAAATGAGCGTTCTTCCGCAAAAATGAGTATATTTATGCAAAAACTGAATTTAATAAGTCTCTTAATTTAACTAATTAAAGCTGAGTTGTTGCGCCATTTGAACGCAGTCACTAATATACTAGAATTCTAGAAGCAATTTGATTTTAAATATCGCTCACTCGCTCCCTTTCGGCTGAGCGCTCAAAAATAATCTACTGGAAGAATTGTGGATGTTTTTATCGAATTTTTTCAGAAAATTTTGTCCGCGGTTTAGTCTGAAATATCGAAAAGTTAAAATAAAAAAAAAAAAAAAAAAAAAAAAAAAAAAAAAATGCATGACTTTCCTTTAAAAAATGAAAATTTTGTCGGGGATATTCGGCGACACTAGAACGCTCATACTGAATTTTTTCCTCGATGTAGCAGTATTGACGCATAAACCGAAAACGCACGACTTTCAGCTTCCGCTTAAAAAAAATAGTGACATGCTATTGAAATAGGTACATCAAACATCGATGTATCGATATTAGGCATGATGTTTCGGGGGATGACGGTTGTTTAGAATGTATAAATTTGTCAACAACTCGCTCATCAGAGATTTATTAGATGACTTTGAAGAGGCAACATTTTTACAACACTGTAATCGCGCTGGTTCCTTTTTGCTAAATGCGATCCAACTGATCTTATTTGAAATAGCTTACGATCTTTCCTCGCATCGTGAAAAATATTCTTTAAAATGTTTGATCGACGATACAGGTTGGACTCGAAAAAATAAAATAATAGATTCGTAAATTTTTAAACTCCGCAATAAAGATACGTGCTCTTAAACTTTCATCGACGGTAAGGATGCGACGCAAATGACACCAAGGCGTGGATGCATCTAAACTTGCTCAGTGACTGTGCGTGTTGCATACTTTCAAATATGTAGGCTCCTTGGAACTCACGTCAGCAACGTCAGCTATGCATTAGCGTAGCACCAAGTTGCTGGCGAGATGTGCTTGTAAACAGACAATGAAGTGATGATGAGAGATCCTCTCTCTCCTCAAAATGAGTGAAAAATTGAATATGCTTTTCTGAAAAAAAAAACTAGATGAAGGTTTCCGAAATTGGAGCTTGATGTCTTGAAATGTGCCCGTACCGGGCGAAAATCAATTTGCGCGCTGCGCAACATCCTGTTTGGAAATTACTTGGAATTTCTTTTTGATGCTTCTATTTTTATCCAATTTAGATTCTCATGTTCTCATTTTCACTTGTGTTAATTCACGTAGTTAAACTTAATTGGAATTTTATAATTATGCTCCCTTTAGTTTGTACTTTTATTCTGTTTTTTCCTTACTTATTTATTTCAATTTTATATCTTGTCCTTTCTTTTTCTTTATAATTAACACTTTCTCTTCTTTAATGTAACCTTTATGTTTGTAATTTTAATTTTTTACATTTTTACTGTAGTCTTTTTTGGCTGTATTAAAGTCTTTTTTCCGCTGTATCACAGTCTCTTTCTCTTTGTATAATATTATTGGGTCTGATTCAGGGGCTTAACTAGGTCTTCGATTTTTCTTGGCAGACCAATGTTGTGTCAGATTCATCAGTTTTGTTTCTTTAAGAAAGGTAAAAGAACAAAAAGGAGGAATCGGAACTCTGAATTTTTTGAGGAACAAGTGGATTGCATTTTGCAAAAAGGAACCACTAGCATTAATTGCAATGTTGCCAAGATTGTGCAACTTCTTTTGTCTTGGAGGAAAAACCCGATTATCCATTAATAGTTTCTATTTTACTCGCTGAAAACTGTAAATTTAAGACAAAAATTACCATCTAAATTTCATAGTTTTTCACGATTTCCGCAATTTTATTTTAAAAGATGAAGTTGCACAATCTTAGCATCATTGCAATGCTAGTGGTTCCTTTTTGTAAAATGCAATCCAAGTGATCAAAGTACAGGTCGTCTAGTTGCATATCAAAGGGAAAGCCAGAAAACGCGACCTCTGTTGTCATATCGCACAATTTTCGATTGTGCAAACTTTGTTTTTTCGAGAGAATATAATCAGTTGGTACCAGAAAGCTTTTAACCCGCAGATCACCCTGGGGGAGAATAGAGTGTTATGAAGTTTTTGTCGTGCTCTCTACGCACGCAAACTGGAAACACAATTCAAGGGTCAAAAAAAAGTACAGCATTTAGCTCATCGTCGTCATAAAAGTCTAGTTTCCGCACATTTAAAACTCGCTTCTGTGTGTCTTTGAATTAAGAGAAACACGAGAGCTTCACTAAAGACCTTTTTAAAGGGAAGGACATACCAACGCACAGTGGATCGAGTCAATTAGAGAGGTCGGACATGAAATTTTTGACTACCTTCAACTGAGAATTTTGGTGTTTATTTCGTCATATTTTAAATTTCACGGGGTGCCTCCAGAAGACAATTTCACAAGGAAACCAATGGAACCGCTTTTTGGAAGCTCAAAGTTTTGTATAAACGGAGTTATAAGCATTTAAAGTTTCCAAATTTTGTCCGACCTCTCCTATTGACTCGATCCACTGTGCGACGGTAGAAGTTTGCAACCACGTATCTCGGTTTGCGACGTCGCAGACTTACTGTCATACTTTATTTTTTCAACGAAAAACTACTGAACAGAAATTCTTAAAAACTGCCGTGATTTTTCTTCTCAGTGCCAAGAAAATTCTACGAAAACTTCAAGGAATGATGTCAATTTGTTCTCTTTTAAAAAAATAAAATCGGAGCGGAGATTTTCTAACACCGTAAACGAGGTACGTGATTGCGGACTTACGCCGTCAATACTTAGTTGGAAAGTGCCTCTTTTACAAATCGTCTAATAAAACCACGCACAAAACTTTAAAATTGTATTCTATTATAAAGCACCATCGCGAATAATGATTAACTCATGTTTACAATTTGAAAGTTACAAGGAAAGTATGAATAAAAATATTGACCCCCAGACTCTGAAAGAGCAGAGGGGCGTCATAAAGAAACCGCCAAACGGCGTTTCGGCTCAATGATTATCTTCCATAAATCCAAAAATGATCCATTTGTCTCACCTAAATCTGCGTATCTCCCTAAATTTTTCACGTCAAGCTATGAAATGTTTAACATATATCCTTTGAGAAATTAGCAATTCAATCAGAAAAATCGTTCTACGCTAATTCCTCCTAGCGACGTTCTTGCAATTTCCTCTTCAACCCAATCTACACCCCAAAAATTAAGATGAATGCTCTATGAAGCTCTAAAAATCACGGAGTTCGGCAGATCCCCCCCCCCCCCCCCCCGCCGCCGCCGCCGCCGCCGCCGCCGCCAAGCAAAAAATGTAAAGATAAGTGCCACAACTGAACAAAGCCTACGATAAGGTGCAAAGAAAACGCCTTCAAACACTTCTGCAGCAACCGCGCACACGCGGGGAAATAAGCCGATAATCATTACTATATACAGGAAATATTAGGAATTGCTCACAGATTAGTACAGATCGCTAACATCCAATCTAGCCAATGCTTAGAAAGCGTGAGTAATTTTGCTACAGGTTAGGCAACTTTAGAAAATTGATGGCACTACCAGTAGTGAAAGAACTTGACAGGATCAAGAAAAATTTCCTCTTGAAACTGATTATAAAGCTTTAATAAAGTATAAATAGTAATGTGTAATGATGGTTTTTGATCAAATAACATTTTATCAAGCAGGGGCGGACTGGCCATGGGGGCGGGGAGGCGATCGCTCCCTAACAATTTGCCGCGGAGGTCCCGAAGCCGAAGGGGCCCCCGCGGCGAATTTTTTTCGAGTCATCAATTTTACCCCGTAATGTTGTAATTTTCTTATCCTTTTCAATCACTAAAAGGCCCCAAATTCCTTGAAAATTTGTCTCTAGGAGACATGAAAAGTCACCAAAAGCATTTGTGATGAAGAAGCCCCCGATGAATCCTGAGAACGGGTTATTTTAAAGTTCAAGTACTGTAAAATCCAACTCCAATAATGCCTACGTGTTTAAAAAGTGTGAAATTTTCAAAATTTATCGGGGGAGGGCCCCCGGAGCCAGACCATCTTAGAGGGGCCCCCGAACGACAGGAGGGGCCTTACATTTAGGTCTCCTCCTAACTTTCCGACTACCAGTCCGCTCCTGTGCGGCACAGGAAAGCCGAAAAACCAAGCGGGGACTTTACTTCAATATTAAACTTCCATCGCCTTGCTAAGGAGCGGGGATACAACTATTTGAACACTAAGGAACGCGAGAGGTATCACGCTTCAATTGAAGGCGATTTCGAATCTTCTGTAATTACATGAACAGATTTTCCAAATTGTTTTGCGTTATATTGTAGATTTGAGTTCCTTTTATTATTTAGTTAAATTACTCCAGCTCCTTAATTTTTAATTATTCTGCAAACACTATCCATTTGCGAAATACAACCCTGCCTTTAGCGCCTGAAACTACGTTAGTTTTTTGCATTTTATTATAGATTTGCGTTCCTTTTATTATATAGTTATAAACTCCAGCCATAACGGTCGAAACTGCAGTAGCGGCAAAGGAAAGCCAAAAAACCAAGCGGGGACGCTGCTTCAATGTTATACTTCTATCGTCTTGCTAAGGCGCAGGGATACAACTATTTGAACACTGAGGAACGCGTGAGGTATGACGCCTAATTTGAAGGCGTTTTCGAATCTTCTGTATTTTCATGACCAAATTTCCAAATTTTTTTGCATTATATTGTAGATTTGATTTTATTTTTATTGATTTTATTTTTCTTTATTTTTATTGTGATTTGTTCCTCTCTTATTAAGTTAAATTATGCCTGCTTCTTAATTTTTAATTATTCTGCAACAATTATCTTTTTGCGAAATACAATCCTGGCTTCAGCGCCCTTAAACTCAGGCCTTAACGGTCGAAACTGCTGTAGCGGCACAGGAAAGCCAAAAAACCAAGCGGGGACGCTGCTTCAATATTAAACTTCTACCGTCTTGCGAAGGCGCAGGGATACAACTATTTGAACTCTCCGGAACGCGTGACGAATGACGCCTAA